GCTTTCGAATAATTACTAATATTCATGAGTAAAGTTTTGTGCTTAGGGCAAGGTATCGTTTCCCATTTCGTCCCGTCTAACGGAGAAGTATTCAGTACACTAACATATTTTTTAGCCTTCCATGGGATTCTTTTGTAAGCACTTACACAGTGCAATACACGTGTTTCGGCTTTGCAATTCGTGAGTTGCACGGTGGTGCCTTCGTCTGAGCCTATCCCCTTCGTGGTAGCACCACTTACATAAAGAAATATGCCTATGAAAATGTTACAACTGCCGCATGTAAGGTAAAAATTCACTTCACATCACGGCAGATATACCATATCAGTGCATGTCGAGCGACATGGTCACCGGGCATTGCAGTGATTAACAATCGATTCCTCAAGACTGGTATTTTTTGATAATACCCTCATATCCGAATATTCTGTTTTCACGTCTCGCTTGAAACAATGTGAAAACAATGTAAGTTGACACTGTATTTTTTGAGCCTTTCATAGGGGTCTTCTACACCGGAAGGGATTGGCCCAAACGAAAAGCACCGTGAAACTTCTGAGGCTGAAAGGCTGAAACACGTGCAGTGCACTGTATAAGTGCCCATAAAATACCTCATAAAAAGCTCAAAAAAAATTATATTAGTTTTGAGCGAGGTCTGAAAAAAAACAGTCGAGTATGAAAGTATCATCAAAAACTTGATTGTCAAAAATCTTCATCATACAGATCCCAAGCTCATTCTCTTTTAGATTTTCTAAAAAGAGGACAGATGGCTTTGAAGTCATAAGTACTCCATTAGCTTCTGTGCTACTTCATTTTTTGATTTCAGATCGTGGCAATGCACGTAAAAGAACAAAAGAAAAAAGAGATAGTGTGCTGGAGCTTGTAAGAGATAACCAGATGAATAGAGCAAAACGAATGTACAGTCCCGATGACGAGGCCAATAGAACGAATTCTGATCGTAACAGTTGCTGAACACTACAAATTGACGTTTCCACCCGCCCATCACAGAGATGACGAACAGTCAAACACACCATCTGCATAAGCAATGACTGTAGTCTGAAGGAAAAAAAAATCGAAAATTCCCCAGACCGACCATCTACTGATCTCAGCTTTCTTCGGTAGTTCCTAATTCTCTTCTCAAACCAACCCGAAGTTATACGTAGAACACAATTTGCTTTGAGAGCTGACATTTCGTCGATTTTTGCTTCTTCAGAACCTGAGAAATTAAAGTGACCATATCTCAAACACCTGCATTACGCAAACAAGAAAGGTTACCATACCTAGATTTTGGTCTCATCAGGCTTAATAGTCATCCTCCAACATGATCACCGGTTTAAATAGTTTCTCCACTGAGTTGCCTAACTGGAAACCTTTCGCCCAGAGATCACATGGACTACCAATGCACCTCTCTTATCAAAGCAACAGTCTTATATACTATACCATATTACGTGTGTTCAATAGGTACTCTTCCTTGCAATTCATCCTGTGATCCACGCAAAAGATCCCCGCTTGTTTTGAAGGTTGGTTTTTGTGCTTGATTTGAGTGAAATCTAAATTTATTCACTTCTTCTGTTTGAGTAGTGAATGTGTTTCGCGTAACGCGTTTTGTGCAACGTGATTTTTCCACAATGAAGAAGGCTAAACTGCCAAAATGTGGGCTCTCAGTATAAATCTTGTTATAAAATCTCGTATTTCGCTCAAGAAGAAGATAATGAATTACTGAGAATTCAAAATTCCTGTAAGCGCTGAATGAATGGCGCCATCAAAATTTTATCAAATGAGCAAACGAACAAATCAGAAGGAGGCCATTTGGCTAAGAGAAACAAAGCTATTCGTGCGATTACTTCAGTCAAAAAAGCAGTCAATTTTGCAATAGTCTGCAGATATAGTGAACTTATCTTGGAGAAAAATTGAAATGATTTATTAGCTAAAAACTCTGGTATGTCAATTGTCAGAACAAACGTAAACGTTTTTTTCATACCTTCATGATTTGATGCTTGAAGTATCATAGCGACATAGGGAAACGAATAAATAAATATGAAAAAACGTATAGAAATTAAAATCACCGACTAATTACTAATCATCTTGAAGACTCATATCTGTAATGTACACTCATCGACTGACCACTAATCATCCCTATACTAGTTGTCCATCTAGTGTTTCAACATCATACCACTCTCTCTGCCGCTTGCCGAAGTTATGCAGCAAATGCCTCAGCATTACAAACTGCACTCTCCGTTACTTCGGAGGCGATAATTTGTAAATATAATTTTTAAAAAGGACACAACGTTGACTTTGTACATCGAGCTGCTAAGCGGTGCGTTCAATTTGCCCACCTTTTATGTACAAGACCGTCAGAAAACATCGTGTTGGCCCAATTTGAATTCGATCATTTCTACTATGCTTAGTGAGATTGAGCGGTAAATTTGCAAGCTTTGCCCGGAGACGAACGTTCTACTTCTATTATCTTCTCAACTGCAAGTTGTTTCGGCAGTCTATTTTTTGATGGAGGACCTACGCCTGATTGCCCATAAGGTTGCATGGTCCGTCAACATGTAACAAAATGTCAGTGTGACCAATCGTTAAGATGAAGCGCACGGATGTTATATAGTAAGTTGCAAATCCGCTATTTGGAGATAATAATCTTTGAAGTAGGAAGTTTTTATATTTATCACTTCGCGGATTTTCACTTATACAACATCGAGTTACTGAAGCGGTCCATTCAACCCGTCCACCTTTTGTGCACAAATAGGCAGCTGTATAAATTGTGCAAACCTTGCGAGCTCAACCGCCTGTGCAATATTCATTCTGATGTCATTTTTATCCCTTGTGATTCAAATATATGTTTGAAGAGTCCAAATTAGTCAGAATCGTTTTATCTTAGAAAGTTGGAAAAGAGGTATTAATCCTCCTCCATTGAACTTCATTTATCAAACATAATTCTCCACTTCGCTGGGATCCTTATTTTCAGCTCGCTCACAATCCCTACGCGGTAACGTAGCGCAACGGTTAGAGGTAACCTAAAATAGTCCTACTTTATATTCTGCTCAATTCGTTTTTAAGGGCAGAACTAAGCAGAATGTGGCCATAAAACTGTTGAGATACGAGTAAGAATTCAAGCTTGATATAGTGGCGTCGGACACGTAATTACCCTTTTCGAGGCTCAACATATTTTCCATTGTATCACACAGGTACTCCTTCCACCTTTTCAACTTATTCTTTGGACATCAGTAAACGCTCAAAACCTGCTCCTCATTCAGAAATGACTTCAGAAGGATGCAAACTCAGACACTGTGATTTTGATCGCGTCTTCAGCTTAAGTCGGGATACGTCAATCTGTGCTTCCTAGATCAGTCCAGTTGACGGGTGATAGCTTATAGCTACGGAATGGGCTGAAACACGGCTGAGAGAAAGGTAGAGCGAGGCGATGGAGCACAAGAGGATTTAGTGAGCTCCCGAAAAAGATAACTTCATGTTAGAAAGGAAAACAGCGCTAATTTAGTACTAAGTTGACAAAAAAAAGTTTCTTACCACCCACGAAAAATTTAAATTTAGTAATTGCTTCACACAGTGTCGATTATTGTGAGTACACGGGAACATTCTAGGAATATTTTCATTTGAAACTCCCACGGTAATACTAGTTATAGTGTATTGAATTCTAACTGACTGTTCGGGTATCAAATGATGACCATGCACAAAACTGAGCTACGAGTTTTGACACGCTGTTGTTGGAAGCGACAACTTTGGACAAGGAGGTTTGATGAAGTGGAGAGAGTTAAGGTCTTGTCGCGCACAGCCTACAATTCAGATGCTACGCCGAAAGAATATGGTCTTTTTCGTTCAATGGAACATTTCCTGTGTGGACGGTAATTCGAGGTATCTGATCAAGTTGAACAGGAACTTCAGGAGTTTTCAAATTCAAGGCCCAGAAAACGGTATTTTTAGCAGATTTGGAAGGATGCAGATCGTTGGTAGAAGGTGGATGATGGGTGGTTTTTTTTTGAAGAGCAATCATCGTTGTTTTTGATTGAGTTGATGTATAGAGTTTGGATTTTTAGCGTGTGTTAGAGAACTTTTCTCTCACCCACACCCAATACACTGGTAGGCGACCACATGTTACTGTAAGGTTCAGATATGATACCAATAACTTTTAACTATGTTCAGTAAAGTTTGATGTATGGCTCATCTGTCAGTGATCTTAGAATGCCTCATATTCCTCTATCCTTTGCTGGTCATCGTGCATCCACTATAGTTTCTAACAATTCTAAATTCTAGCTTTGTAGTAGAATCAGCCGCCACATTTCATGTACTTGTATATAGTTAGTATACCTTATCTATTCGTTTAAATCAAGCAAATATCATTTTCTGGGAAAATCCTTTGGTGTAGGTGAGTGCTATCATTACGGTTGTCGTGGTGAGCCATTTCTATGCTATTCACCAAAATGACACAAAAGAGAACGGTTTAGTTTTTTCAACTACGAAAAAGAAAAAGTGATCATAAACGATATGAATCTCTTAATATGCTATGCGAGCACGTCGAATAAATACCATACACTGTAATACGAAAGAAAGCGGAATAGTGAGGGTGGACAGTTGCCTGAGTTAATTCTTCAAAAAAGTTTATTTGTAAAAGGTGGATATTTCAAAGGTTCTGCTTTGGGTTTGAATGTTAGGTCCGTTCAATGATTCGTAGGAGAATGAAGCATAACAAATTAAAATGAATCAAATTCTTGCCCAGGTGCTTTCGCTGCCATCTCAATCACTTGGAGAAACCACGAGTATAGAGTCACGGTACGAAAGAATTGTAAGTAGTCATCATAGGCTAGCAGTTCTAGAATGTGGCATTCTAACACTTCAAGCGCTACAGAATTGAATAGTATGTATGAACACATATTCTGGGGTGGGATCGCGGAGTGGTTAGTGGTGCCGTGAATTAGATAGTGGGGTAATAAGCAAAGCGTTGGCTCAATGGATGAGCTGTAGCGTAGAGAGATTGGTGTTCAAAATGGGCGTCAATAGTGCAACGGATAGAGTACGCGCTCCCGGAAAGAGTGAGGTGCGGGTTCGAGTCCCTGCTGGCGCGAAAGTTCTGCACACCACTCTACATCAATGGACTTCCTCAAAGATTTCTTGCATACAATCAGCGAGCGTCTTAGAAAACACTTCAATTGGGTCACGTTCAAGATTGCAAGGAGAATTGCCCCAACCAGCGTTCTACGACCTTCAACCTTCATGATGAGCACAGTATTAAATGAGCAGCCGAATCAACATGTGGCAGACTCGGAGGCTTCTGTCAAAGATGAATGCGAAGAAACGAATCGGACCCAGGTATCGTTAGAATTTGCCCAACAGAATCAAATGACGGGTCATGCAAAATTAAACCGAAGATAAAATGCAATTGCATAACTACACCACAACAACAAAATATACAACAGTGCTAAGTGATGTGCAATACTGCTGCATTGTAGCGTAGAAAGAGTGGTATTGTTCGCCAAGCACGCCGCGAAAATGGTGAAATACGGATTCGAGACTCGCTTTACGAAAGTTTTGCACACCACTCAATGTCATTAGGTATATTTGAAACATCATACCATCGCTAAGAAGCAGTTGAAATAAAAAGAATTTCTGTCAACAACGAAAGATTCGTTTTTCTATACATAAACAAAATTGAATCTAAGGTCTAAGGAAATGAGTCTGAGATGAAAAAAAAACCAACATCTTCGAAACTACACCGCAAAAATAAAACTTTTTGATTGACTCCCAACTACCGCCATTGCAGAAAGCGTTCGACAGAGCGGCTCAATATCGCCAAAGGTGTTCACTGACTAACTGGAGTGTAAGGTCTAGTATAACACTTATGCATCACAGGCTTACCTCTTTCGCCCTTGCAGGTTCATTAGTAATGCGGTACCTTTCGGATCAGCCGATCCCAGGGGATAAGCCCCTATTTATAAAGGAATCGGCGCTGAATAACAAGTCACCTCTAGTCAGGTGACAAATGCCGCGACGAACAACAGTCGATCTAGTGGCCTGTAAAATGAAGGCCACCGTACTACTGATGAGTCTGGAAAGGCGAAACACACCTGTGTAGTACTGTTTAGGTGACCACCAGACCTCATTAAAGGCTCTAAAGATGCTCTTTTATTACTAGTTTGCTATTGCTTTCAAGTGAAGTCTATAAAAAGCAGTCGAATGAAGAGATATGATTAACTGTCGGATTGAGCATAGCGTACCGCATAGTGATGGAAAATTTAAATTAACTGTCGGATTGAGCATAGTGATGGAGAATTTACATCAAATCTTCATTTTGCCAACCGTTTCAATGTCTAATTATGGATTACTGACAAAGAAGAGTATATGCTCAAAAAGCTTAACTGAGCTGGTGAAAAAGCGGGTTTTGTGCTGGTTGTAAGAGAAACGATTTCTCAGTTCTAAATTACTCAACTCTGCAAAAACGAATAGATCGAACTGCATAAATTTCCTATTGCTGAAATCGCTCATAGGTGTTCAGTGAACATGAGGAGCAACATGAAGAAGAAACTAGGAAGAAGAAGAAGAGCAGCATACCTTGTTCACGGTTTTCAGAGAAGAGACCGACCAAATAGCAGACCCGAGATCCGCGGTCACCTTTTGACTCAGCAGTCCTTCCGGCACTTTGTTCTTCACGAGAGACGTGGACTGATACTTCAACCATGCCAAAAGATCTGCGCACCACCCACAGGGCAGTTGAACAAAGTCCTCTGAAATTCTATCAGCATTAGTATCGTATAGGTTTGAATTTGAATTCAAATTGTGTCTTACTAAAAGCGCAGTTGAGGTCAGACAGATTTATTTCGAAGAAATGAAGAGATGTACACTGAGACAAAAGTTGTTGTACGTGGTAAAAAGGTTATGAAGCTTCAATCGCGGTGGTCCTTATTGGGAGTACATATGCAACGATAATGAAGGATTCTCCAGCGCAACGTTATTTTGATACAGCAATCCTAACTTATTTGTTACTGTTTTTGACATTTTGATCATACCCAACAGGTGACAGGTGAATTCTGATTTATAGGCAAACAAAATGTACGTAAAGAATGCAGGCGAAATATTAGAATATAGATTTGCCACCATCCGTTTGTTTAATCGAAAGTCAGAACTTTGGAATGTTTTAGGCCATATGTTTTGATCAGCATCATACATGCTTACATTCTATAGGTGTGAATTCTCTCTTGTAAGGTGATTTACTAAAGATGTTATGCTGTCGTGCTGTAAAAACTAAATGATGATAAAGGTATTTGCTACATGCTGGAGCCACTGAAAGTGAAATTGAGGTTATTCCAGACTGAAGTGCGGCGTGTCCTGGCATCAGTCGTTAGTTGGTAGAAGCAGTAGGTGCACCATGAAATTTGGTCGCTTCAACATTGACTACAATTTTCTAGACTAAATATCTGAAGAGCTTGTGAGTTCCACCCAGTGGTCATGGCTTAGAAGCGATCAAATGAACAACATGTAGTAATTATGCCACAAACTGCTCCTAACCCTATATTGTCGTGAGCTTTCCACATTGATTATTTACTTCTGGCTATCATACACTTATCTTTTCTCAATTAGATTTACTTGAACCTTCAGCTTAAGCGATCACATACTTTCACATGAACTTTTACTACGAGCTGTTTTACTTTTTTTTTTCTAGACTTCCCTTCATATGATAGAGCCGCTTTCACGTGAACATTCAGTGCGAGCCATTTTTCTCCTTCCTTATTGGGATGTGCATGTGTAACTATTTTTGTGCTATGAACTTCCTTCCATAAGTTGTAAGTCTAAAACCTTTTGTGGCTCATACTTTTATCAACCATACGGTTTGCACTTTCTCCACTAATATAGCACATCATTAGATAAAGCCGTTGTTGTCCGTCTAAATAAGCCTGACCCTGATGTATACACACGTGTTCCGCAGCTCAGGCGTTGCAGTGTTTCACAGTGCGAGTGTTCTAGTGTTACTGTTATTCGCCCAACTTGCCTCATAAGTGTTCACCCGATTGAATATCGCCCGACTGCTGATATTCCATTGCCGTTATTGTTATGAGCAATTATAAGCCTAAAAAATTGGTCGCCCTGCCTAAGTTAAAAGTCCCGCGTGACAAACTCGTAAAAAATCGAGCATTCGACTTGGAGTAAGTAATTATTCTGTACTGAAGATTCCGAATCTCTAGACGACTGCACTAACCAGTACACAGCTGGGCTGACCAGAAAGACAACCATCTTAAAGAATTATACCTTTATTTCGAGTGCTTTGTTTAGACCACGCTCAAATTTCAATATATCCTTTCATTATTATTTGAGCCAACTTGTCATGTGGTCTGGTAAGGGCTCTTGTACAGCCCGATACACGTGTTTCGTCCTTACAGACTCGTCAGCCGAGCAGAACCCGTCGTCTTTCGATCTTTTTATAGTCAGTTCTCTCGGGAGCCTTACACTCCTTATAGAGAGTCATCGAAGACGTACGTTTTAAACTCTATGTCAAGTGAAATTTTCACCTAACACAGAGTGTTGCGCACTCGATTGCTCTTTGGCTGGTACTTTTATCATAATTATACCTTTATTTCAAAGAACTGACTATAAAAAGATTGAAAGACGACGGGTTCTGCCCGGCTGACGAGTCTGTAAGGACGAAACACGTGTATCGGGCTGTACAAGAGCCCTTACCAGACCACATCTTAAAGAAGTTTGCCACATCTTATAGAACAGGATGTGCAATCATAGTTGGTATAGGTACTGTGAAAAAATTTCTCAATTTCTTCATTATGAAATATATTGCTGCAAGAGATAAATGTCACTACACGGTAATCAGCATCAATGAACAGACTACACAATTGGAGCGTGATTCCACTTGTAAGGTTCTACTTTCTTCTAACTTTGGAAAAAATGCCTTCTATCTAAACGGATAACATGAGAAGTACCCTTCCGTTATAAGTTCTGATGATAATACAGCTTTCCTGATGAATATCTTTTGAAGTAATTATTTTTCTCCATCGTTTTTTAGTGAGAAGTGCGTATGTTGTACAATGAGTGTTGATTACTTGATTGATTGCATTGATCTTGTCTGCCACTCGTGAGATCTTGATAATATAGTCACGAACAACCTTTATATACAAATTTATTGTAATATCCCAACAGTACCACAAGCTGGTGATATATAACGATACGCAATGATCTATTAATGCGAAGTGTAGGATAAGTACATCACAATTTTCCTACACCGATCCCTAAGTGAAATTCATACAAAATAGCAGCCCAGAGTAATCTACAACGTACGTATAAACGCAATGAGTAAGCGATTGAATCGTTTACAAGATATGACAAAACGCATAAACAGTACTAACGTGGAGAGATAGTACTGTGAGTTACAAGCGATTAACTACATGATTGATGCAAAAGTAATGGCGATCTTGGAAGCATTGAAATTTGCCGCTTGATAAAGCTCTCAAGGATAAAGCTTTCGGCGTTGATCAATCTCTGAGGGATACGCCCGGTGCTGCTTACCCTCTCAAACAAGTTTGAGACCTGATTGATACCAATTTACAGACCCCGGAGGGATAAATGGCTTAGTGAGCCGTGAGCGTGAGATCTAACTATACACCTTGTGCGCGACGTTTGGCACCTCTAACCACTGTGCTCTTGCCGTTTGGTGCTGGAAATTCATTCTCAAATAAATGTGGTTATGTTCAATATCGTTTTAATGCGCATTTTTCGCTCTATGTTTTATTTCCAATAACGTTTAACACTTACTATTTATTTTATATCTATCTTAGATTATGGAATGGATGTTTGTTTGTTAAAAAATAATTGCGGTTTTGAACCGTGAGTCCAGAATGGGTCATAAAGCAGCAAAGGCAACTCGCAACATCAGCAACTCATAAAGCCCACGAGCTGCTGGCGAACGTTGAGTGCAGGGGTGGTTCAACAAATTTCATAAAGTAGATGCATATCAACAATGCATGCAGAGTGCGAAAAGTTTCGATATTTTTTTCAGATATTTCAAGAATAAAAAAATACCGTAAACAAATGAATTCATTCAAATAAATGAATAAACACATTTAT